AGAGCACTTCCAATAAGATCTAAAGCTGACATTACAATGCAATATTCAACACTTGCATGTTAGGAAAAAAAGAGATTGAATTTTTCTGTTCATGCTGGAACATCTTATTGCAGAGTTATATAAGATAGGGCTAAGGAGAATAGGGCGAAGGAGAAGAAGCAATTGAAGAAAGTTTAAAGAATATATTATAAAAGTATCTAGGAGATAGAAAGAGGCGCAGTCATAAACCTTCTTACCCAGAGAAGGTAACTGAGTGATACATTTTTTTGTTGTTATTTAGGAGCCATTTATTTTTGCTTACTATCACCCCCTTCACCAGAAGAGAAAGGCAGTGATAGTAAAATATGTCTCCCTATCCCAGAGTGAAATCGAAATCTTGACAATGACCTTGTGATATGCCAACTCCCTTCTCCCCAGTCCTTCCCCTCCCCTCAGCTATTTCTGCCTTCCCCTTGCCTGCTTGTGCTTCAGTTACACTAGCTTCATTGATGGTCCTTAAACAGGCCAGTCTATTGTTACCTCAGGCTTTTTTTTTTTTTTTTTTGAGAGACAGAGTCTTACTCTGTTTCCCCAGGTAGAGTGCAGTGGCATCAGCCTAGCTCACAGCAACCTCAAACTTATGGGCTCAAGTGATCCTTTCCTGTCTCAGACTCCCAAGTAGCTGGGATACAGGTGCATGCCACCACACTCAGCAAATTTTTTTTTTTTGGTATAGACAGGATCTTGCTATTGCCTAGTTTAGTCTCGAACTCCTGGGCTCAAGTGATCCTCCTGCTTCAGCCTCCCAAAGTGCTAGGATTACAGGCATGAGCCACTACACCCAGCCCATGTATAACATTTTTATTTTATTTTTTTGAGACAATCTCACTCTGTTGCCTGGGCTAGAGTGCTGTGGAGTCAACCTAGCTCACAGTGACCTCAAACTCCTGGGCTCAAGTGATTCTCCTGCCTCAGCCTTCCAGGTAGCTGGGACTACAGGCACACGCCACCATGCCTGGCTAAATTTTTCTATTTTTATAGAGATGGGGTCTCGCTCTTGCTCAGGCTGGTCTGGAACTCCTGAGCTTAAGCAATCCTCCCACCTCAGTCTTCCAGAGTGCTAGGATTACAGGCGTGAGCCACCATGCCCAGCCCCATGTATAATTTTTGACTCCCCAAAACCTTAACTAATAACTTTCTTTTGACCAGCACCTTAGTAATAACAATAAATAAGTTTTGTATGTTACATGTATTATATACTGTATTCTTACGATAAAGTAAGAAAGGGAAAAGAAAATGTTATCAAGAAAATTACAAGGAAGAGAAAATATATTTACTATTCATTAAGTGGGTGTGGATCATCATAAGTGTCTTCATCTTCATCATCTTCACATTGAAGTAGGCTGAGGAAAAGGAGGAAGAAGAGGGTTTGATTTTGCTATCTTAGGGGTGGCAGAGGCAGAAGAAAATCCATGTGTATAGCAGACCCATGCAGTTCAAACCCTGTTGTTCAAGGGTCAGCTGTTTAAGATAATCTCATGGCTATCTTATTTTAGAAGATTAAAAACTGCATACTTCTCTTGTAGTGAAACCAAAATTTTGTCAAATAATGAATCCTTCAATATAATCCTTTATAATTATGTAGATTTTTTCCCCTTCAAAATACATACACTCTTGGCTTTTCTAACTGTAGATGGCAGCAGTACATAAAATATGTTGATTGAGGGCAAAACATCTTCAGAATGATATTCAATTGCTATCTGATTTTCACAGCCTAACCTATTGTGAGAAACAACGATAACATTTAAGTTAAGGATGCCTGGATTTTTTGGTGAAAGTGACCTCTGAAATTTGAAATTCATTTTTCTTATATCAATTAAATATTAGAATTATGTTTTTATCTCTAAATTTTAATATGGAGTTTCACAATTAAGGTTTAGGGTTATAAAGTGTGGCTCATCACCCATGCAAACTAATTTTCCTATATTCAATCATTAATCAAATGTTATTGACTTGCCTTTCGTATCATTATCCTAGTTTAGGAACTCACTGCATCTCACAAACACTTCACATTTGGCTTTCCAATTCAAGTCTATCATCTCTCCAATTTGTTCATTTGGGAAATGTTTATTAATGAATTCCTATGTTCCATGCCCTGTGCTAAGAAAAAAGAGCAGAGGGTTGCTAATCACTCTCAGATGAGCAAAGAGTATCAACTGACAATCTGACAAGATGAGAAAAGAAGAAAATGTAAACTGGAACATAGCAATTCATTTCCAAAGTCATTCTCAGTAAAGACAACCAGTTTTTCTCTATGTCCTGTTTCCTTTCCACCTTTCCTTTCTTTTTTTTCTACAAAACACTTTAAATCAGGTAAAACCAAGCATGTAATCTGCTAATAACATATAGAAAAAGAACTACTTAGTAATGATACTACACAAGTAATACAATCTGTTTCAAGGGGAAGTTGTAATGCTTAAATGGCTTTTTAGGCACTCCTGTTCTAGGAATAGGGTAGAACAGTGTGTAATAAAATACTCAGATTTTCCCTCTTCAGCTGTCAGTACCCAAGGTCAGTGTGATAGAGAACATTTGAATATGTAATGTAGTGATTGGTAGGAACTATGCCCTTTATATTATAAAGTATTTTATTACTGGATTTTTTTTCATCATATTGTGGGGGTACAAATGTTAAGGTTACATATATTGCTCTTGCTCCCCCTCCCCCAGTCAGAGCTTCAAGCGTGTCCATCCCCGAGTTGGTGCGCATCGCACTCATTATGTATGTATATACCCCTCCCCTCTGCCCCACCTGCCTGACACCTGATAGATGTTATTCCTATATGTCAACTTAGGTGTTGATGAGTTAATACCAATTTTCCAGCATATCAATGAGCCAAAGTACTTTTTTCCCTTCATTTTAAAAGTTGAGTCTTCTGTTCCAATTAGTAAATGTTTATTGTGTTGTGCCTTCCTGTGTGTCCCCTATCACTGCACTAGACCCTGCAAAGGTCATAGTTCAGCACACCACTCTCTACCCTCGATGATCCTGCATTGAAGTGGAAGTGGGGAGGTGGGACCATCTGTGTGGAGGAGTGGGAGGTACACATGTGTTTAGAATGCAGGGTAGAGTTTGATGAGAGGTAGAAGTACATTGTCTAGTGTTATGTTTTTTCATGAGGCAAGCTTCTGAATGCCTTATTTAATACCCTTGGCATATTGTAGATAATGAGAACTTTTCAGACATCTGTTAGTGTTATTGTCTTTTGTTTTTATTTTTTTAACCATTGAATAGACTTGTTAAAACTATTTCCTAAGTGTTTGTAGGTACTAACATCTCCCTAGCCCCAAACTGGCATAATGTTCAACATAAACAGAAACTAAAGTTCTTAAATACTTAGTAAATGAATAAAAGTTGGCTAGACTTTAATAACTAAGTCTGAACTGTTTTGTTTTTTTTTTTTTTTTTGAGACAGAGTCTCACTCTGTTGCCCCAGCTAGAGTGCCATGGCGTCGGCCTAGCTCACAGCAACCTCAAACTCCTGGGCTCAAGTGATCCTTCTGCCTCAGCCTCCCGGGTAGCTGGGGCTACAGGCATGTGCCACCCATGCCCGGCTAATTTTTTCTCTATATTTTTAGTTGGCCAATTAATGTGTTTCTGTTTATAGTAGAGACAGAGTCTCGCTCTTGCTCAGGCTTGTCTCTAACTCCTGACCTTGAGCCATCCTCCCGCCTCTGCCTCCCAGAGTGCTAGGTCTGAACTGTTTTAAACTTCAGGGGCTAATTGACTTTTTCGTTCAAATGCAAATAAAGAGCTTGCAATGCTTATAATCCTTCTCTTTGGTTCTGTAGGGAGCAAGTTAGCAACTAATAACTTAATGACTCAACTTAGAACCTAGCTACAGAAGCAGGTTTCATTTTATCAGGGAGATAAAAATTAATTAGCATTTTGTCTTGCTTATGTCAGTAGAAATAGAATTATTTCTTTTGTTTTAGGACTTGTTTAACAATTATATGTAGTCCATGTAAATGTTTTTCTCTCTTAATTGGGACTTAAAACCATACTATTATGAAAATGTTCAAAATTTTCCAAAATAGAACTCCTGCGTATCCAGCAACAGCTTCAACAATTAGCCATATAGAGCCAATCTTATTTCATTAATAACCCCACTCATTGGAGTATGCCCTTAATTTTTTTGATGAAAATACTTTTAAAGCTATTACTAGACAGCTAATTTTTTTGTATTATAAACATCTTTGGAAAAATTTTTTTTCTTTTCACCAGTGAAAATTATAAAACCTGGAAATCAATTTGGTAACAAATATAAAGGAGACTTTTAAAAAAAATTCCATGTCCGTGGTTCCATTAATTCCCTTTCTGGAGTCTGGTCTTAGAAATTAAGGCCAAGATCATTGTACAAAAATGTTCATCCCGTCATTATTTACAATAGTGAATAATAAAAAATTTATATATATCTAATAATAAGCAATAATAAGTCTACATGGTGGAATGTTTTATGGTCTTTACACTGTCTTTAAAAAGTATTTAATAACATAAGGAAATGCTCTTTAAAAAAAGGATAAAATTATATCTATGTAATAATCCAAATTGTATAGTGTCCTTACATATATTCTGTAATGGACTATGAAGATCTGATTTGCTGTTAACCTGGTTCCAGTAAACAAGCTCTACTTCAGTTCTGTTCCTTAATCTCAAAGAAAGCTTTTCATTTTTCTAATTTTTAAAACATTGTCAGTTGCCAGCTTAATCCTCCCAAATTGCTATTTACTTGCTGAAACCTGCATTGTGACCTCATGTCTGTATTCAGGATACTTGTGCTTTAAGATCCTAAGATATAAGTAAATCAAAGGCATTGCTTATATTTTAGATGATTGATGTTAAGTGCTTTTTAGGCAGCCAGCTTTGTTCATTGTATGTGGTTAGCATTCAACATTATTTTCTGCCTGTAGGCTTTTCTTAATAATTAAGAATATGATTTTCTTTGTTCCCAACTTGACAGATTATAAGCACACCACAGAGACTAACCAGTTCAGGAAGTGTTCTGATTGGGAGTCCGTATACCCCTGCACCAGCAATGGTTACTCAGACACACATAGCAGAAGCTACTGGCTGGGTCCCCGGGTAAGACCGTTGCAAGTTACTATTGTAAAAACTTAAAAAAAAAAAAAAAGTTCTGACCTTTTTTTTCTCCCTGTCTTCTGTTCTTGTTTTATTTAGTCTAGTTCTTAAAAACTAATGTTTTTCCTATAAAATCACCTATTATTATATTTCACTTTATATCTTAGAGATGTAAATCACCTATGGAGCAACCATTTTTAAACAGGGAAAAACAGTACAATAACTTATAACTTATCCTCTGACTTTTTTCAACTCTAAAATATAATTACTTTTTATGATTACAACACTTAGTTGCTTTGGAGATATAAAAGCTATTATTTTATGTTGTTTTAACACATACAAAAAAGGTGTTATGGGCCGGGCGCTGTGGCTCACGCCTGTAATCCTAGCTCTTGGGAGGCCGAGGCGGGCGGATTGCTCAAGGTCAGGAGTTCAAAACCAGCCTGAGCAAGAGCGAGACCCCGTCTCTACTATAAATAGAAAGAAATTAATTGGCCAACTGATATATATAGAAAAAATTAGCCGGGCATGGTGGCGCATGCCTGTAGTCCCAGCTACCCGGGAGGCTGAGGCAGAAGGATCACTCGAGCCCAGGAGTTTGAGGTTGCTGTGAGCTAGGCTGACGCCACGGCACTCACTCTAGCCTGGGCAACAAAGCGAGACTCTGTCTCAAAAAAAAAAAAAAAAAAGGTGTTATGTATGAAGTGTTGGCTATCCTTAGAATTTCCCCCTATGAATTCTTATTTCCTTTAAAACCAGAAAAGGAACGGAAGAAGAGACCAAATATATTAAAATTTTTATTAAATTTTCCCTTGATTCTTTTTTAAACACTGAGCAATTAAATTGATGTCCCTTCTATGTTACTCATTTGCCACTTTTTATTATCAAACCTTTATGTATTTCATCTTTGCCTGTAAAATACCCTTACCTAACCTTTCTCCAGTCCTTATCATTTTAGCACTTTATCCTTCCATAAAAGAAAAAGAAATACTGAGATAAATGACTCAAACCTCATTTTGTCACTGTAGAAGTTTTGTTACTTTTAGAAGTTATATACATGGTGGCATAGTACACAGGTGATTCTATTATATGTGAGTTTTAGCAAGCAGATAGTAAATATTAGTTGGTTAAGACTCTCCTTGCTTCAAGGATATTACATGAATTAATGAATAACAGTCCTGGCAAAGTGCTTTAAGGCATATACATATTAATGTACATATATACATACTTACATACACACATATGTACAATAGAGACATTTTCCATATACATACTTTCCATTATCAAATGAGATGAAATGACAGAATTACCTGTATTTTCATAACCTTTATTCAATCCTTATGACAATGCTCATGTAGATCTAAAAGCTACTTTGAGTGTCTGTATGGCCTTGAAAGATGATAATGTCAAAGCTAAGTGTTGACCTGCTTAGGAGATGACCAGTGTTTGGATGTTTTCAGCCCCAGCTGTGCTTTATGTTAGGGATGGCAGGATTGTCTTGTGTTTTTATAGTCAGTAATTACTAAGTGAATAAAACTTTTCTATCTTATTGTTCGTAAATCTGCAATGTTTTCGTCCCTAAATAATCATTGACCTCATTTCAGTCAATGATGATTATGTCAGAATGTCTTAGTCCCATGATAAAATTAAGTTTTTATTTTATGTATATATCTTTTATATTTGTTAGTTTTTGTCTTTGGATATCAGTGTAAAATTAGACAAGTTATAATAAATTATTCATGAAATAAAGTTGTATTTATGTATGTGTTTTTTTATACTATTTCTTTTTCTTTTTAGTGATAGAAAACGGGCTAGAGAATTTATAGACTCTGATTTTTCAGAAAGGTGAGTATAAATATTTTGTTTGGAAGATTTTGTTGTATAGAAAGGACTTTGGTGCCCATAGTCTACGCCAGTTTAAGTAATGAGATGTTTTTCTTCACGTAACTTTTAACTTCATTCAGTTTTTGGCATTATTTCATTCTGCATCAGGTGTTCCAGTTCAATTAAAATATTTATATGGCTTCAGTAGAAATTATCCTGTGAGTAGATTGGTTATTGGTAGTATGTCATTTAGTCCCTTCCCTTCTTTGGGAAGATAAAGTGTTCTACCAAAATGAATACTCCACATTACCCTAATATGCCCAAATTTTGAACAAGTTTTATTGAAAGCATTTACAGATCATAGTAAACTCTCACTTGTTTCTTAATATATTGTGTGTGATATTACCTTTCTGCAGTATGGTAGGACAGTGGTTCTTCATTCTGGGTGTACATCAGAATCACTTGTAGTCTGTTAAATAAAATATAAATGCCTACCAACTCAGAAACTCTAGGTTTCAGAACTGTCAACTTAGGGCCGTTATTCCATGCAAGCCACCACACTAGGTGCCATATTAATATTGCACTATGTTAACTAACACTCATAGTCTTAGCAGCAATTGAACTCTGTAAGATTGTCACTACAGTAGTGCCCCTCTATCCATGGGGGATACATTCCAAGACCTCCAGTGGATGCCTGAAACTGCAGATAGTACTGAATGTAATATATAAGACTTTTTTCCTATACGTACATATCTATGATAAAGTTTAATTTATTAATTAGGTACAGTAAGAAGAGATTAGCAAAAATAACTAAGAATAAAATAGAATAATTATAACAATATGGTATAATAAAGGCTATTTAAAACTTACGAGGCCAGGCATGATATCTCATGCCTATAATCCCAGCACCTTAGGAGGCTGAGGCAGGAAGGATGGCTTGAGGCCAAGAGTTCAAAACCAGCCTGGGCAACATAGTAAGACTACCACCCCTTACAAAAAATTAAAAAAAAAAACAGCCGGGCATGGTGGCATAGGCCTCTGGTCCTAGCTACTTGGAAGGCTGAGGCTGGAGGATTGTTTGAGCTGAGGAGTTTGAGGCTGCTATGGTCGAGCTGTGATTGAGCCACTGTACTCTAGCCTAGGCAACAGAGCGAGACCCTGTGTATTAACAACAACAAAGAACTTATGAATTGTTCTGGAATTTTCTATTTTATACATTTGGACTTTAGTTAACAATGGGTAATTGAAACTGCAGATAAGGGGATCTACTGTAGTATTTTCAATAAAACCTTGCCAGGTATGCTTTTTAAACTTATTTTTGATTCTAAGATTTTTTTAACTCCTTTTTTATGGTGTTTTAGTCTCCTTCCTCCTGTAGGTCATCTGTTCTTAATATATTATAATTTTCTATCTTCTGTATTTTCTAATTTGCTATCTCTGATTTGCTGTACACTAAAAAACTAAATGGTCAAATGTGTTAGAATTCGGTCTAAAATGAAAGTGAGCCAGGTGTGGTGGTGTGCACCTGTAGTCCCAGCTACTTGGGAGGCTGAGACAGAAGGATCACTTGAGCCCAGGAGTTTGAGGCTGCAGTGAGCTATGATGAGGCCACTGCACTCCTGCCTTGGTGACAGAGTGAGGCCTTGTCTCTAAAAAAATTTAGAAAATTAAAAATAAAAATAAAAAAACAAACATGAATAGGCTCTGAGGGAGTACCCTGGAATTATGTGTAAAGGCTATGTAGTTTTTTGCACTACTAGTGCTACTTCAGTTCCTTGGTGGCTTTGTTGCTTGCTTCTTGATTCTTAACTGTTTTGAACAGATAAAATCACGTCTGAGGAACTGCTCTATCATAGAAATATATGGGGAAATGTTCTTTTCTCTCTCATGGAAAGTCCTCTTTCTGACTTTCAGACTGGTCTTTCTTGGTGTTTATCCTTGGAAAGGGCAATCGTACAAGTTCTTACAGATGGATTTAGCAGCATTTAAGACCTTAAAAATGGAACTATTTATCAGTTATGTTTGGTGACACCTATGTACTGCGAACAGTATACAAAAACAAGATTCTTTTTACTCTCTTTCACAAGATCACACATAAAAGTGCTAGATTAAATTTATTGGTATAGCCATTGATTCAACTTTCCCTTTCTACATTTGGTTCAGTGGCTTTTTTCCCCTGGCACTTTTTATTTTTCTCTTTTTATTTTTTAATAAGATTTTTCTGTAATGTATCTCCTCCCCATTAAACCACAAAGTTTGCTATATGTGTTTTTCTTTATCCCTCTCCTTTCCTGTCCTAAAGATTTAGCACAGTGGTGTTTAATTCTTCCTTTTTGCTCATTTAATCTTAGTATCTTTTTTATTTCTGTTAGAATATATTAAAACTCGGGGGGGGGAAGGGCATTTATTGAAACCTTAAAATTTGTACCCTCATAATATGCCGAAATAAAAAAAAATAAAAAAAGAGTATATTAAAACTCAGTTTGTATATAATAAACTAATAATCATTTTTAAGAAACTACTATAATTTATATATAATAAGCCATAGTAATCAAAATCAATATAAAAATCTGTGTACTCAGCCGGGCGCGGTGGCTCACGCCTGTAATCCTAGCTCTCTGGGAGGCTGAGGTGGGCGGATTGCTCAAGGTCAGGAGTTCGAAACCAGCCTGAGCAAGAGCGAGACCCCGTCTCTACTATAAATAGAAAGAAATTAATTGGCCAACTAATATATATAGAAAAAATTAGCCGGGCATGGTGGCGCATGCCTGTAGTCCCAGCTACTTGGGAGGCTGAGGCAGAAGGATCGCTTGAGCCCAGGAGTTTGAGGTTGCTGTGAGCTAGGCTGACGCCACGGCACTCACTCTAGCCTGGGCAACAAAGTGAGACTCTGTCTCAAAAAAAAAAAAAAAATCTGTATACTGCTTCAGTTTTATCAGGTCATTTACTCATTCAACAAATATATTTTGAATATCTGTAAAGTATTGGTATGTTCTAGGCATTGGGGGTCATAGTAAAGATAAGTCTCTGCGCCTAAAGAACTTGCATTGAGTGGTAGGGAGCAATAAACAAATAGATAATTTTAAATTGTAGTGGATATAATGCAAGAAAATAAGAAGGGTGATTTGTAGAAAGTATTAGAGGATAGTTGCTACCTTTGGTCTCTCTAAGGAGGTGACTTTTGAATGCAAAGAAATTGAGTATGTCAATGGCTAGGGGTGAGGTGGGGGACTCAGGGATTCTAGGCAGAGGGAAAGGTGAATGCAAAGCTCCTAAGTGAGGAACTAGGGTGATGTATTTGGGGACTGGAGGTAATGAGAAATGCATAGTGTGAGATGAGGTGAGGCTAAAGGAGCAGACGGGCAGATCACCTACGGCCTTGTCATCATGGTAGGGAATTTAGTTTTTGTTTTTTGTGGTTTTTTAGAGACAGAGTTTCACTCTGTCACCTGGGCTACAGTGCCGTGGTATCAGCCTAGTTCACTGCAACCTCAAACTCCTGGGCTCATGTGATTTTCCTGCCTCAGCTTCCCGAGTAGCTGGGACTACAGGTGCACATACCACCATGCCTGGCTAATTTTTTCTATTTTTGGTAGAGACAGGATCTCTCTCTTGCTCAGGCTGGTCTGGAACTCCAGACTTCAAGCAATCCTCCCACCTCAGCCTTCCAGAGTGCGAGGATTATAGGTGTGAGCCACGACGCCTGGCCCAGTATCCCTTTTAATATAAAATATGTTATAATATTTCTTTTATTGCCAGTAAATGAAATTACAGAGAAAAATATAACTTACCTACACACTTAAATTTTTTTTAAAAGTTTAATATTGTAACTGTATAGAAAGGAAAAACAAAAGGAGAGTAATCCTAAGCAGAAACACATAAGTGTGGTCAATGCACTAGTGCTGGTCCAGAACTCTTTGTTACCAGTCCACGATAAGTACAGAAATTGAGGTTCACTCAGGGTGGGGAACCAGTGGCCTTAGGGCCACATGTGGCCCTTCAGAACCCCAAGTGTGGTCCCTCAACAGAATCCAAACTTTACAGAACAAATCAGTCAAAAGGCTACACTCAAGGATCCAGAAGGCCACAGGTTGCCCAGATTGTGACCTATTAACAGCTTTTTTGAGATAAAATTCACATATATACAGGTCATTGATTTAAATTGTACAATGCAGTGGCTGTAGGTATATTCACAGAACTGTGCACCCATCACCACAATCAATTTAACATTTTCATCACCCCTGAAAAGAAACTCTGCATCCCTTAGCTATCATCTCCACCCCTCCCAGCCTTAGGCAACCACTAATCTACTTTCTGTTTCTAGATTTACTTATTCTGGATATTTCATTTAAATGGAAATATACAATATGTGGTAGTTTGTGACTGGATTTTTTCATTTAGCATATTTTTAAGGTTCATCCATGTTGTGGCATGTATCAGTAATTCATTTCCTTTTATTCTTGAATAATATTCCATTGTATGGATATACCATGTTTTACTTATTTGTTCATTAACTGATGGACATTTGAGTTGTTTCTACTTTTTGCCTATTATAAATGATACTGCTATGAATATTTGTTAAGTTTTGGCATGGGTGTAAAGTTTCATTTCTCGCCGGGCGTGGTGGCTCACGCCTGTAATCCTAGCTCTTGGGAGGCCGAGGCGGGCGGATTGCTCAAGGTCAGGAGTTCAAAACCAGCCTGAGCAAGAGCGAGACCCCGTCTCTACTATAAATAGAAAGAAATTAATTGGCCAACTGATATATATATATATATATAAAAAAAAAAAATTAGCCGGGCATGGTGGCGCATGCCTGTAGTCCCAGCTACTCGGGAGGCTGAGGCAGGAGGATCGCTTGAGCCCAGGAGTTTGAGGTTGCTGTGAGCTAGGCTGACGCCACGGCACTCACTCTAGCCTGGACAACAAAGTGAGACTCTGTCTCAAAAAAAAAAAAAAAAAAAAAGTTTCATTTCTCTTGGATGTGTACTAGCAGTAGAATTGTAAAGTCATGTAGATACTCTTTGTTTAGCCTTTGGAGTAATTGCCAGACTGTTTTCCAAAGTGGCTGTACAATTTTACATTCCCACCAGCAGTGGATGAGGGTTCCAGTTTCTCCACATTTCACTAACACTTCTTATCTGTCTTATTATAGCCATCCTTGTGGTTGTAAAATGATATCTCATTGTGGTTTTGATTTGCATTTCCCTAATGGATAATGATGTTGAGCATTTTCGCATGTGCTTATTGGCAATTTGTATATCTTCTTTTGAAGAATGTCTATTCAGATCCCTTGGATTGTCTTTTATTACTGAGTTATAAGAGTTCTTCATATATTCTAGATATAAATTTTTATTGGATACATGATTTGCAAAAGTTTTCTCCTATTTTCTCCTATTTGTCCTTTAACCTTCATTTTTTGGGTGAGGAAGTAAATTATAATTTTTTATTGGAAAACAAGTAAATAACTTGGAATAGATTTGAGGCAAATTATGCCATAAGCAGATTTTCTTTAAGTGGCTAAACAAAGTTTACAAAGCAAGTAACAATAAAAGAAAATATTTCTGGTATAAGACCAACAGTACAGAAAAATAATGTTGAGTACCTGGATAATACACCCATTTTGCAGTAGTGCAACTTTTAAGTACATGTTGTTGATTGTCCATAGTCCATGCAGAGTTACAACTCCACACTTCAACAACATGCTGACAGTTCCTAAAGAAAACTACTTTAAAAAAAGGCATAACCCAGATGTTCCCTCATTGACCAACTCCTCTAAGCTTAGATTTGCAGAAAGGCTTAGATATATCGAGAGTAAGCCACATGCAACATGTTTCTTGATCAATTCTCTAAAAGAAAGTTTCAAGACAATGACAGTAAGATAAACAAAGAAAACAGGAAAGAATGAAATCCTGTTTACTATACATACATATTTTGACAATAGGGAGAAACCTTTTGCAGATAAGTTACAAACAAAGAAAAAGCAAATAGTCTTATATAAGAAATTTAACACATTCTGTACAATGTCTTCACTTTGCTGTCATCATTTGTACAAACTCTTCATAGTTTACTTGACCATCACCATCAATATCTGCTTCCCTGATCATTTCATCAGCCTCTTCATCTGTTAACTTCTCTCCAAGGTTTGTCATCACATGGTGAAGCTCTGCTGCACTATTATGGACATTGCCATCCTTATCAAACGCCCGGAATGCTTCTCTAGTTTCTTCTTCGCTGTCTGTGTCTTTCATTTTTCTTGCCATCATGGTCAGAAAAGCAGGGAAGTCAATTGTGCCATTGACATTATCAGCGTCTGTGGGATTCTGCCCAAGGGACCTCATTACAGTTCCCAATTCCTTTGTTGTTATAGTTCCATCACCATCCTTGTCAAATAGTGAAAAAGCTTCTTTGAATTCTGTAGTCTGCTCTTCAGCCAGTTGGTCAGCCATGCTGCAAGTGCTACAGGTTTCTAAGATGCAACCATGCAACTACTCAGCTCCCATGCTCCATTCAGACTCCCTTTCACCTACTTGATGGTGTCCTTTGAGGCACAAAAAGTTTTTAATTTTGATAATGTTTAATTTATTTTTTTCTTGCATTATGCTTTTGATATCATATACCTAAAATATCATTGCCTTATCTAAGGTCATGAAGTTTTACACCTGTTTTCTTCTAAGAGTTTAATAGTTTTAGCTCTTATGTTTAAGTCTTTGATCCATTTTTAGTTAATTTAAATTTTTTGAACAAGCTTGGTTTTAAGTTTATTATTTAAAACTATTATTGATAGCTAAATTAGAAAGTAAACTTTATTTTATTCTATTTTATTTTATGTTTGAGACAGAGTCTTGCTGTGTTGCCCTAGGTAGAGTGCAGTGGCATCATCATAGCTCACTGCAACCTCAAACCCCTGGGCTCCAGTGATCATCTTGCCTCGACCTCCCGAGTAGCTGGGACTACAGGTGTATGCCACCATACCCAGCTAATATTTCTGTTTTTAGTAGAGATGGGGTCTTGCTTTTCCTCAGGCCGGTCTTGAACTCCTGAACTCAAACAATCTTCCTGCCTTGGCCTCCCAGAATGCTAGGATTGTAGGCATGAGCCACTGCTGCACCCGACCTTTTATTTTATTTTTAATCCTCATTTTCTAATGGCGAATTAACCATCCCTGCACTATTTTTGTCAAGATAAGACATACTTTTTCTGAACGTGGCAGCAGAAGTAGTTAACCAAATGTGACAATGGAAGTGTTGTAAAGAATGAAGTACAACAGAATTTGTATTAGTTTTGCTCAGAAACATGATCCTTCTTATTGAGTTGGTTTTTTTGAGACATAATTGATGATGAAATGCTAAAACCACAGCATCTTATTTTGCAGAGATATACTGGCTAATGAAGCCATGAAACCATCAAAACTTAAGCATAAAAGACAACAAACATAAGTAAGTTCAAAGCCAAAAGAACCACTGAGAAATAATAACTCGTTGTGCAATTATCACTACTATCCATTTCTGGAACTTTTTCATCATCCCATACTGAAACTCTGTCCCCATTAATCAACAATTCCCCATTCCCCTCCATCCCCCATCCCAGTAACCACTGTTCTACTTTCTGACTGTGAATTTGACTATTCTAGGTACTTCATATAAGTGGAATCATACAACATTTATCCTTCTGTATCTGGCTTATGTCATTTCTCATATCTTCAGAGTTTACCTGTGGTGTAGCATGTATCAGAATTTCATTCTTTTTTAAGGCTAAGTAATATCCTATTATATAACGCATTTTATTTATTCATCATCCATTGATGGACATTTGAGTTGCTTCCACATTTTAACTATTTTGAATAATGCTGCTGTGAACATGGTGTACAAATATCTGTTTGAGTTCCTGCTTTTAATTCTTTTGTATATATAGCCAAAAGTGGAATTGCTGGGTCGTATGGTAATTCTATATTTAATTTGTTGGGGAACTGCCATACTATTTTTCACAGTGCCTACACCGTTTTATATTCCCATCAATGCACAATGGTTGTAATTTCTCCACATCCTCACCAACACTTCTTGTTTTCTGTTTTTTGGTAATAGCCATCCCTAATGGATATAAAGTAGCATCTTATTCTGGTTTTGATTAACATTTCCCTAATGATTAGCAATGTTTAGCATCTTTTCATGTGCTTATTGGCCATTTGTATGTTTTCATTGGAGAAATGACTATTCAAGTCTTTTGCCCGGTTTTGAATTGGGTTGTTTTTGTTGTTGAGTTGTAATTCTTTATATATCCTTTGCCTTTTAATGTTCTTTTACTAGAGGCATTGTTTGCTTAACCTTCAAAAAGTGGCTTACTGGATTCATTTCAGGACCATCTGTGTATCACAGATGTTGACTATTCTAGCCTCTTTTGTTGACTTTTAATGTAGATATTGATTGAGTTTTGCCTTCCCAAGAACAAGCTTAATTTCTTGATTCAGCTATTGTTGAGTATTGCTATTTAGTTTTGTATTGTTTATGAAAATTCAGGCAGTTCATGAAGGAGATAAAATCACCCATATGTACTATATGTTTAATGCATGCTCTATCATTTAATCCTCACAACAACGTGTGAGATGGGTATTTTTATATCCCCATTTTTCAGATGAATAACTGTGGATCAGAGTTAAATGAAGTAAACTACTCAAAATATATAGCTCACAAATAGTTTACCAATGTTGATATTTAACCAAATTTTCTTCAAGTTTATTATCAGTTCATACACTGAACTAATTTTATGAAACTCTAATGTGTAGGCTTGCATATTTGTTTCAAGAGTACTATAGCCACCTGGCCAGGCATGGTGGCTCACGCCTATAATCCTAGCACTCTGGGGGGCCGAGGCGGGCGATCACTCAAGGTCAGGAGTTCAAAACCAGCCTGAGCAAGAGCAAGACCCCATCTCTACCATAAATAGAAATTAATTGGCCAACTAAAAATATCTAGAAAAAATTAGCCGAGTATGGTGGCACATGCCTGTAGTCCCAGCTACTCGGGAGGCTGAAGCAGGAGGATCGCTTGAGCCCAGAAGTTTGAGGTTGCTGTGAGCTAGGCTGATGCCACAGCACTCTTGCCCGGGAAACAGAGTGAGACTCTGTTTCAAAAAAAAAAAAAAAAAAAAATCTAAATACTATGTACTTAATTTCAAAAAATGAAAACTATTTGTTAATTTTAAAGTTGACTAACTTTTTAATGACTTTGTTGTGTCTGTTTTTTGTTGGAAAGCATTTGAGTATTTGGTTGCAGCATGAAGACCCACAGTTTCAGTTGATCCTCTAGATGGGTTATCAGTCATTTGTGACCTTAAGGATATCTTGATTTGGGTTAGGTAGGAGAATGTAATAGATTTGCAGCAATAAGTGGTTGAAAAACAAGAAAGCATGTTTAGGGCATATTGCATTTTTCCATATGTCAATTGGTACTTTCTTAGTATTAAACAGTGACTTGAGAATGTCCTATACTGAGAACTCAATTTTATCTGTAGTTCTTTGGGTGCCTTTGTGATATCAATGAGATGAGGCTGAAGTGCTAATTTGAGTGTGATGTCATGATTCTCAAAGTCAGTGAACCTTTCATCATATTCTCCAATTAATAGGTCTACGTGTATTCTCAAATGATTCACATATATATCTTCCTGCTCATCAATAACTTTTGTTAATTGGGGAAAATGTTCATCCTAAATTTCCTTTTGAAGAAGTGTTTTGAAAAAAGGGTAGTTTTTTTCCGAAATCCTTGGGTTTTTTTTGCCACATCTCATTTGTACACCTAGTTTTACCCTACAAAGAAATATTTAAATCATTTTGATTTGACATGATATCACACAGAAATGCTACATTCCTATAGAAATCTTCCAAAATAATTCACATTGCTGATTCTGTTCTTCATAAAATTTAACTATCTGTTCTCACAGAGATAAAATTTTGGCTAACACCATCCCTGTGTTAGCCAACACACTTTAGAATGTTATGGCAAATTCATATCCACACTGAATACCTCATCCTTTGACTTTAACATGTTACAAAACTGACAATGTGGTGTTGCAATTGAGTGAACATAGTTAACAGTACTTACAACTTGTTGCAAAGTGTCACTTAAAATAGCAGCTTTAGTACAGAGATTTTGCTAATATGAAATAGAATGAAAAGAAATGAGAGCATCTGGATCTGTTAATACTTTTTTTTTTAATCTGTGCAATAAACTCTTCCTGTTTTCCTGTCATGGAAGGTACACTGTCTGTACATACACTCACTACATTTACCAAATTCAGTCCAACTTTAGGACATTTATCTTGAAAGTTGTCAAAGATAATCTATTCCCTGTGTTCTGTTTGCATGAGTACCCAAAGTGAGTAACTCTTTGTAGCAAAGAAAATCTCCTGTTATGACCCAAATGCAGTTTTAAAAGTGCTGGATCAATAATATCAATTGATTCATCAAAGAGATTGAATAATATATATTTTCCTTTTGAAGTATTACATGAAGTTGTTCTGTTAAGTTGAAGGCTAATTCATGCTGCCAATCAGTTATGAGTCTCCTTGAAAGAGGCTGTTGTTTATACTTTGAAACATTATTGGGGTCTAAGCATGCTACCACTTTGACAATGCATTCTTTCACAATTTCTGCATCACTGAAGGGCTTCCCCAAGTATATAGGCTACTTTATAAGTTGCTTCAGTAGCATTATTTCCCAGTCATATTGCTGCTTGAAAGAATTGTCTTTGGTTTTGCTTTTTACCTTTCAATTTTTGCAATACTACCTTTCATGCCTCTCCCTCTAACCCTTTGCACTCACTTGCTTTTTTCTTGATTCCTTTATTCTACTCGGGATTTAATTTTTTAAATACCCCAGATTTTACAAAGCACAGCGGTAGAATAAAAAATAGAAATTTCTTCTCATGCAAACTTATTTATTTGGATTTTTTTATATTTCAAATTATTGATACATTCAAAGAGTAATTTTAATCTCTATAATTTTTCATGGTGTGATATTTTTTGGAACATTAACCCACATGAAGACCTGGTTTACATGCACATGTTTTGAAAATATAAATTGTCTCTCTTCTTCCTCCTTTGATTTTTCTGTTAGAACAAACAACACAATCTTTGTTTTTTTTGTTAGGGGGAGGTGTGATTATATGGAGCTTTCCATCTAAACGTTGCTCTAAGTTAGTGGATAAGAATCTACCCCTGGAAGTTAGTGTACCATCTCAGCATTTACATTTTACTTGTCCTTTCATGCTAATGAAAACAAGAAAAGATACTGGAAAAACAGACAAAAATCTCTCTTCTCCCCATGGTGAAACTACGTGTCGAGTGTGGCTCGACATACGAGCTGCTACCGATGCTAACCGTGTTGAGTCGCACTCGACATCCGAGTGCAAAGGGTTAATGTATTTGTGGTCCTTATGAGTGTTGTAATACTAATGAGCATTGAGTTCCTTTAATGCTGATACTGTAGTATCACAGAGCAAGCAAATCATCTTATTTTTAACAGAAACAAGATAATGTTGCAGTTCCCAATCCTCATTAAAAAATCCGTTTTCTTCCTTCATCGTTCTCTTGGTCTTCTTTGACATGATGGGCTGTTAAGTAGACAGAATTAAAAAAATACTGTCAAGCTGTGCAACTAT